TATATATATTTATATTTATACAGTATTAACTTTACATTTCATGCAATTGTAGTTGATCTTGACACGAATTCACACATTCAAATACATCGAGTTTGTGGAATTGTGGCTAACTTTGGATTAACATTAGATTGTAACACCGAGAGAACAAACAAATATGTGATATCCGCTAAGAGGGTTTTACACACTAGTAGGTATGCATATTAATGTACGTTTATATGGCGGCGATACAGCCAATTGTCCAGCGTAAACCCTAAAGCTTTAGAAACTCATCGAGCATTCGCTTGCGCTGCTGGTGCAGCGCCCGTTCCGACAGGAGATACATCCCAATATCGCCAAAGTTTTTCATTAGTTAGTTGTTCGAGTTGCTAAAGAGCTGATGTCATAAGGCTGTTGCCTCCTCAGCAGTAGCGCTGCGACCGAGTGACTGCACCGAACTTTTGTTGTCCTCTAGAATAAGCAAACAAATATATATATTATAATATAAAATTATGATATGGGGATTCTTATAAATGGTTATACATACGCTCAGGAAAAGTATTATTCGTAAAAATATATATTTCATRTACTTTTCATAATTTGATTACGCATCTGTAACAACTCATAATAAATAATATAAATTCGATAATAGATTGAAATAAAAAGTGCCATAAATTTATAAACAAAATGATTTATTTGGGCAATTCTAGAGCAAACATTTGACAATTAAATAAAAAGAAATCATATTAGATAAAAATAAGTGTAATCGTAATGTTAATAGTAGTATGCATTTAATATTGAACACGATCAACTGTGATCAACCMTAGGCGATGAGGATGATGATGCAATACGTTACAAATTATTGTATACTCTCGTTTATAAATAAACATTTGGATTAACGGCTATGTTGAAGGTAGATGATGTTAACTAGTTTCGATCTCACGAACTACTAACTACGTTCCCATTATTGGGTCTCTCTGTCTCTCTCTAATTTAAGCGATGGATCATCTCGATGYTTCGGCWATGGGCGTGGCACTCGTCGACACCTCGTCAGCSGCAGGCGTGGCTGTTGCTGCCGTCGCTGCTGCTGYYGCAATATTTGTGCTGCTGCTGACCACCGGCGGCGAGTTGCTGCCACTGGTGGTGGAGGTGACTGCGCTGCCACATGACGCCGCTGCCRCATCGTCCGGCGACAGCTTTGTTCGCTGCGGCACCGGCGGCGTTGGCGTCGCTTCAACCTGCTCTGATTGCTCCTGCTTCGGGGCAGGCGGCGTGCTGGCCGCTACAATCTTAGGAGTGATCTCCGTACTGCTATTACCTTGTGAGCCGCCAGTCGCCGCTCCAGTGGCTGTTGCGCCGCTCGAGTTGTTGTTGGTGGCGTTGGTGTTGGCGTTGCTGCTGCTGTTGTTGTCCGCGTTAGGTGGACTCGCGCTGCGACGGGACGAGTTCTCCGGCGAGCTGTCCGGCAGCAGCGTTTTCTCCTGATTGGCGCTGGCATTCGGCGTTGCCGGCTTCTTCTCCAGTGCCACCGGGGGCGTGGCGCTCTGTAGTGGATCCTCCTTG